TCCCGCCCGTCAGCCCCTGGTCCCAGCTCTCGGCCGGCCCGGCTCCTGCATGGACAAAGGGGTCCTTTGTGGGCTGACCGCGCCTGGCGGGGCGGCGGGGCGCTGGCTCCACATTGCTGATGAAACGGAGCCCTTTGTTGTCCCTCCTCAGGCGCAGTATTTCTTTTTGGGGGCTGGATGCGTTCCTGGCAGGGCCGATGATGGATGCGCCCGCCGCCGCCCGCCTGCCCGCCAGCTTTCCCTCCCGCTCATTCCCGCTCCGCTTCAACGCAGCCCCAGCTCCTCCCCTGCTGCCTTGGCACTGCCAGGCCCTTCCTGGCCTGGGAAGGGTTGCTGTGTGCCCTGCAGTAGAAGGCTGGGGCCTGGGAGACAGTCTTCTCTTATGAGTAGGGTGAACGGGTTCTGTGGTCAGGGGTCCACTGGGACCAGGGCATCAGCTTTTTCCAGGGTCTGAAGAAGAAGATGAGCCACGTATAGGGATAGATTTGGAACATCTCGGAGACCAGGACTTGGGGACTAAGTGTTGATATCTGCCCACTCTGGGGTTTGAGGACAGTTACCTGCATTCCAGCCACCCTTGTGTACCCCCCACATTTAATTTGTGTGGCTAAGAAACCAGTCTTCTGCCCAAAGCACCTGTTCAATGACATATCACGTTCTCTGGTTCTGAGCTCAGCATGTCCCAGGATCTGAGGGGCTGGGAGAGGGTAATCCCTGAGGATGGACAGAAAAATGGAAGATTCAAAGAGAGGGCCACAGAGGAACAGAACATGAGGTTTGGTCCCCACCACAAGAGACTCAGGATGGAGACAAAGCAGGGAGGTTCAGCCAGAGCACCAGCCCTGAACGCAGGCCGTGCTGTGTCGGAGGGAGCTGACTTCTAATTGACCTGCCAGCCCCGCACGCAGAGCCAGATCCTGGAGCTGGGAGGAGGGAGGGGGGAGTAGAGCAAGAGCAGAGTTAATGCCGCTATCGATTTCTGCCACCAGCCAGCAGGCCGCAGAGGCGGGGGACGCACACAGGGGCTAGGGCACAGACTGCTCCCCTCCCCAGCTCTCCAACCCGCGGGCGCCTGCCTTCTCCTGTCTGGGGCTGCTAGGAATGTAGTGCAGGGCTGGGTAGTTGAGCTGAATTGGGCAGGGGCTGGGTAAGTTGACTTGGGGTGATGATCTCTGGGCCTGATCTCACTGGCCCTAGTCCCCAACACCTAGCCAGGGTCACTGGTGCCTGGAGGGATACTGATCTCTGAGGGGAGAGGCTGAAGAGCTAGCCTGGGCTTGGCCCTTAGGAGGTAGGGTGGAGCAAAGCTATCCTTGGGGATATATGACCCTCTTCGTCTTACTACAACTCTGACGTCTGTGACATCTGAAGCCCAGTCTGGACAGGCCCTCTTGGGTTTGTCCTGGTGGAATCTGCCAGCTTGCCCAGCTCTTCCTCACCATTCATCTACTTTCACTAGAAAGGAACCTAGGTGGGCTGGTGCCCACGGGGGCAGGGCAAGAGTGCCCGGCTTTCTGCTGATCCCTGCTGGAGATAGTGTTTCCCTTTCCTACCCTTGCTCCTCTTTTGTTACCACTCCTTAGCAGTCTTGGGGCAGGGGCCTTGCCTGCTCTGGGCCTTAATTTCCCTCTCTGTGTGTGCAGAGGGTTGGACTAGATGACCTCCTGGGACAGGCTGAGTCCTATGACTGGGAGATGGTGGGGTTGCCTGGGGACAAAGATGCAGTGTGTGCCGCCCCCAAGCCCAGGGTGGGGCAGGCCCAGCCAGATGTGTGCCTCCCCCTTGATCCACCAGCTGCTCAGGCTGGGCCCTGTCCTCCCGCCTCTTTCCTGGGGTTGCTGGGCCAAGGCAAGCAGACAGGGAAGGAATGCTAGAGAGCCAGCGCTGATGAGGAAACTGCCACTCCGCTCCATCTGGAACAGTTCCTCCCAGAGCTCCTGGCCAAGGAGCCTGGCTGCTCATGTGCCTTAGTCTTGAGGCCTGAGCAGAACAAGCTCTGTCCTGGGAAGGGTCACACCTACTCTCAGTTCCAACTTGTACCAGCCAGAGGTCCCTCCTGCCCACAGCCCAGGTCGATCTGGGAGCCAGACTGGAACTCAGCAGTGAGGCCTAAGTAGAGACAAGAGTGGGGTCTGAGGTTTGAGAGTGAGAAGGAAGTGTGCCACTGTGTGCACAAGCGTGTCCCCCATTCTTGCAGGCGACAGCTTGTCCTCTGGCATAGTATCCTGCCTGTCCTGTAGCAGGAGGATACATGCTCCTTGAAATAAGGTTTCTGAGCTCTGTTTTGCAAACTGTTAGACAAAAGGAAGCTGTTTCCTTTACCTGCAGGACTTGCCAGCGCCTTGAGATAATTGGTGTGTGATAGGAATATCAAATAAGAATCCAGGGGCAGCTTCCCACACTTTTTGGTCTACACCTTCTGTTGGTCTACCCTTCAGAGGCTCTTCCGACTCCTCTTCTCCGTAGTTGGGTCAGGGAAGGAAGATTAGGAAGCAGAAGGTGACTTTATTAC